GACCGACACATGTTCATACATGTTCCCATTCAACCTTAACGTGACCAGAAAAGTGCGATCTGGACAAACGTGCTGTTGTCTCCCACTTCAGATAGTCTGGATGTTGTGTGTTCACGTTGAATCGTAACATTTCTTCATCCGCAGTTAGAGAAATGCTTCCAGATGATGTGGCATCACTTTGAGACTATCAGAGATATAAATCTATAAGTTCAGACATTTTCCTTGAAAGCCAAACGAGTTCATGAGGCATGCTGGTAGAGACAACCGTGACATTGAGCTTTAAAACCTTCAGGTGGGCTGTTTAATCACCACCAGTGGTTGTCAGACATGGGCTCATAAATCTCTGGTGTTTCTCTGATGTTTTCAGGATGCCTTGCTCAGCTCCCTGCTGGATGACCCGTACCTGAGTCTGCAGCTGTCAGGAAAGTCCAACCAGCAGGTAAATGCACAGCAACGTGGCTCCGCCCCCTGAGAGCTGTCATTTGGTGTGATCAAAGTATAAATGTGCCAAAAAATACTGGACCTGAGACGGGATTAACGTCTCTTTGAAGCGGCGGATCTCAAGGATCTGGTTCTTACAAAGAGCCAATCAAACAAGCTAATACTTGTTCGTCCTCTGTTTCCACGGTGATCCAACCACGCTCTAACAGATCCTGAAAACTTACAGTCCCACAGAGCTGACTGAGCAGGATGTGTGGTTTCCCAGAGCCCCCCTCAGGTCTGATTGAGCTACTTAGTGTTTCAGAGACTCGGCAGAAGGTGATTCAGATGTGACGCCAGGAAACAGAGCTGCTCTGAGAGGAGTGCATATAAAATTACTGACTCACATTTTATTTTCATCTGAATCCGTTTTTATTCTGTTATTCTAGAAATCTCCTGTCTTGAGGGAGTGGTGGCGCAGAGGTTAGAGAAGGTGGGCCTGTGATTGGAAGGCTGCCGGTTCAACTACTGGTACAGATGACATAAAAATGTTGGTGGTAAAGGTGAAACACCCACACCTGCCTCCACCCTCATTTGCCTCAATCTGGGCCTTTGAGCAAGGCTTAACCCCCACCATCTGCTCCCCCAGGCGCCCTAGACAGCAGCTTTCTGCTCCACTCAGAGGGCTGTGGTAGCTTGGTGTCTGTGGTTGAGTCAGGAAGAACATCTGACGTAAAAAACAATCACCAAGTCTTCATGCGACTTAGTTCTCTGAGAAGACCCTGAAGAAGGAACAGATGGAAGAAGAAGAAAAATTCTAGAAACCTCCTGTCTGGTTCTGATCCATTCAGAAATATAAAATCCTGGCTTTTCTTCACTTTAAACTCATGTCCATGTGTTAGATTGAAGATATTTGGTTCTAAAAGTTTCTCCTCATCCTGCTCCAGTTCTCAGCTGAGAACCCGACCGACAGTCTGTCCCTGAACCACAGTGGGCTGGGCTACACCAGCACCGACAAGAACCAGTTCCCCCTCAACAGCCAAGGGTCCTTGGAGCTTCAGGAGCCCGGGAACCATCATCTGTTCAACAATCAGAACCAGAACTACAGCGGTGGAGACGGCCGGCACAGCGTGCCCAACATCATCCTCACAGGTACAGACTGGTTTTGTTTGGACTGTGTGCTGTGGTTTATCAACCACCAAAATAAAATAAGGACTTTCTGCCACTTCTCTGGATTTGTGGCTGAAATTATGCCTAAATATGACCGTGTGCTAATTGTTGGGGATTTTAATGTTCATGTATGTTGTCCTGACAAGCCAATGGTAAAAGACTTTTTAAGCCTCATTGACTCTTTGAATCTTGTGCAGACTGTGTCTGGTCCCACACAAGAACGTGGACACACGCTTGATCTTGTTTTATCTTTTGGTTTGCCTGTTTTTAACTCGGAGGTTTGTGACGCAGCATGTTCTGATCATATGCCTGTTTTATTTGAAGCTTCTCTCGCTCATAACACAGTTGAAGCTTGCGCTGCTGTCCGACGCTGTCGTGTCATTAACCTTCCACTGCTGCGCAGTTCTCAGCTGCTTTCAGTCAGAAGAGCAATTGTCACTGAATGTACTAACAAGGATACAGAAGAGATTAGTTCATGGTTCCATCTCATCTGCCAGTCTGTTTGGGACACCGTAGCTCCACTGAAGGACAGACTGACTAAGACTAAACCTGAGCCGTGGCAGAATGATCAAACTCGTGCTGTTCGACGCGAGTGCCGTAGAGCTGAGTGAAAGTGGAAAAGTGACAATCTGCAGGTATCATTTCAAACGTTAAGGGACTGCTGGTGTCGTTATCAGAAAGTTTTAAAAGATGCTAAATGTAATTATTTCTCCAAAATCATTTTATCAAATGGACATAAGCCTCGTGTTTTATTTAAGACCATTGCCTCTGTTCTTAACGCCCCACAGACACTGACTGTATTGAGCCCTCCCCGGTTGTGTTTATTGATAAGGTTGCCTCTACTAGGGCTTCACTTCTACATTCTGCGCATGATACATCAGTTTGAGTTCCCTGCTGTGCCGTCTTTGACAAGTTTGTTCCTGTTACTCTCTCCCTCTTGCAAAAGACTGTTGGTCAGTTAAAGCCCTCAGGTTCTCCAGATTATGTGATTCCTCCTCGACTATTTAAAGAAGTATCCCAATGCATGCTCAATAATCCAGGTAGAAAAATCCAAAACATCAACAACAAAAAATCCAGATTGAACTTTTTTCTATTTAAAGAAGTTTTTCCCACTATAGGATCCTCTGTTTTGACATTTACAGTGAGGAAAATCAGTATTTGAACTCCCTGCCACTTTGCAAGTTCTCCCACTTAGAAATCATGGAGGGTCTGAAATGTTCATGTTAGGTGCATGTCCACTGTGAGAGACATAATCAAAAAAAAAAATCTGGAAATCACAATGTATGATTTTTAAATAGTTTATTTGTGTGTTACTGCTGCAAATAAGTATTTGAACACCTGTCAATCAGCAACAGTTCTGGTCCTCAAAGACCTGTTAGTCCTCCTCTATAACGTCCACCTCCACTTCTTATTCTAAATTAGAAGCACCTGTTTGAGGTCAGTAGCTGCATAAAGACACCGGTCCACCCCACACAATCAGTAAGACTCCAACTACTAACATGGCTAAGACCAAAGAGCTGTCCAAAGACACCAGAGACTAAACTGTAGACCTCTACAAGGCTGGAAAGGGCTACGGGGCAACTGCCAAGCAGCTTGGTGAAAAAAGATCAACTGTTGGAGCAACTATTAGAAAATGTAAGAAGCTAAACCTGACTGTCAATCTCCCTCGGACTGGGGCTCCATGCAAGATCTCACCTCGTGGCGTATCAATGATCCTAAGAAAGGTGAGGAATCAGCCCAGAACTACACGGGAGGAGCTGGTCCATGACCTGAAGAGAGCTGGCACCACTGTTTCCATGGTTACTGTGGGTAATACACTAAGACATCATAGTTTAAATCATGCATGGGCCGGAAGGTTCCCCTGCTTAAATCAGCACACGTCCAGGCCCGTCTTAAGTTTGACCAGGACCATTTGGATGGTCCAGAGGAGTCATGGGAGAAAGTTCTGTGGTCACATGAGACCAAAATAGAACTTTTTGGTCTTAATTCCACTCGCCGTGTTTGGAGGACGAAGAATGATGAGGACCATCCCAAAAACACCATCGCTACTGTGAAGCATGGGGGTGGAAGCATCATGCTTGGGGTGTTTTTCTACACATGGGACAGGACGACTGCACTGTATTAAGGAGAGGATGACCGGGGCCATGTAGTGAGAGATTCTGGGGAACAACCTCCTTCCCTCAGTGAAAGCATTGAAGATGGTCGTGGCTGGGTCTTTCAACATGACAATGACCTGAAGCTCACAGCCAGGATAAATACGAGCACATTTCCTCCATTTCAGCCTCACTTCACTGGTTGCCCATACATTTTAGGATCAGTTTTAAGATTATTTTATTTACTTTTAAGTCTCTCAATGGTCTTGCCCCACCCTACCTCTCCGAGCTACTACAGCCTTACACCTCCTCACGTGCTCTCAGGTCAGCTGATCAGCTGCTCCTGAGTGTGCCCAAAACAAAGCTCAAGTTTAGAGGTGAGCGTGCCTTCGCTGTAGCAACTCCTAAACTATGGAACGGTTCCTCTCCACATCAGACAGGCTCCTCGCTGCCTGTTTTTAAATCCCCTCTCATAATTTATCTTTTAACACCATGTGAGATCTTGATTTTATTATTTAATTGACACTCCTTTTACTGTTTCAGTTTTTATTGCATAGATGTTTGTGTTTTAAATTTTTTTTTTTTTTTAGTGTTTTATTCCTTTTTGTGCTTTTTAACTTGTCTGTACAGCACTTTGGTCCTGTGTGTTTTTTTTAAAGTGCTTTAAAAATAAAGTTGGATTGGTTTGGTTAAATTCATTGTTTATTTCCAACTTCCTGGATTTAAATTAAAGGGACAGGGCTTCCTGGCTGGGTCCGTAAGACCAGCAGCACCTGAGACTGGTTTTATATTTTATAAGCTGGACTTTATTTTCCCATGGTGAGAGGCACCAGGCAGGTGTGGATCTACTCTTAGCCCTCTGACTTGGTGCCTGTGTGTTGGAGTTTTCCCCGGTGGATGAGAGAGTGGCTTCTCTTGCACCTTCAGGTGGGAAGACAGACTCTGACAGTTGTTTGTGCCTACGCACCAATGGCAGTTCAGAGTACCCAGCCTTACGGAGAGTGTTGGAAGATGCTATAGCCGGGGACTCCTGTGTTCTGCTGAGGGACTTCAATGCCAACGTGGGTAGCAACCATGTGACCTGGAGATGCGGGATGAGAGAACGACCTCTCTGAAGAGAACCTTTGATGCGTTCAGTTGTTGGACTTCTGTGCCCGAACTTGTTGTGAGGGTTTGCTGGGAACGCCTGGCAGAAGAACCCATCAGAAGCATCTTTATCTCACACCTCTGAGAGAGCTTAAATTGCATCACATCAAAGGCGGAGGACATTAAGTCCGAGTGGGCTATGTTTCGTACTCCATTGTTGAGGCAACTGCCCTGAGCGTTGGCTGCATGGTTGTCAGTGATTCTTTGTAGCAGCCATCCTTGAACCTGGTGATGGACACCTGACCTGTCTTCAACCGAGGAAGCTGAGTCAAAGGACTTGGGTGGTTGGTCTGTCCATAGGGGGTGTGGTCGTTGAGGTGGTTAAACAGCTCCATGGCAGCTGGGCTCTAAGGGTGAACGAGATTCACCCTGATTTCCTTAAGGCTCTGGATGTTGTGAGGCTGTCTTGGTTGACACATCTTTGCAATGTCGTGTGGACATGGGGGGCAGTGCCACTGGATTGGCAGACTGGGATGGTGGTTCCCATCTTCAAAAAGCGGGACCAGAGGGTGTGCTCCAATTACAGGGGCATCACTCTCCTTAGCCTCCCTGGTAAGGTCTGTTCAGGGGTACTGGAGAAGAGTCTGATCGATGATCAAACCTCAGATTCAGGAGGAACAATGCAGGTTATGTCCTGGTCATGGAACACTGGACTTTACCCTCTCTAGTGTCCTTGAAGGATCATGGGAGTTTGCCCATCCAGTCTACATGTGTTTTATGGACTTAGAGTGCATTCACACCAGTCCTGTTTAGTCGCTTTAATTGAACTCTAGCTCGTTTTCCTAGGAAGTCCGGTTTGTTTAGGGAGGCGTGATTGCGCCATCAAACTCTGTCATGGAACAAAAAGGCGAACTCTGGCCCGGGCTAAAACCTAGGTCTCGGTCCGGTAGAAGAGACCTCCAGCGCGGTTCAAGTACAGTGTGAATGTAAAGAGACCGGACCCCGCTCCACAAGCAGGAAGTGGAGTACAGCACAGGACAAACAAACACACATTTCTCTGACCTTATATGGAGCCTTCAGCTGCCTTGTGTGAAGAACAATATTCTCCATGGTCTTGTCTCATCTTCTGCTCATGCTGAGTCCATGGTTGAAAAATGACAAAATATAACTCCTAAAACTGCTAAAACTTGATGCCACTTCATTTTTGTTTTTATTTCCAGAAGAAGAAGACGTGTCTTCAGAGGTTTTTGTGTCGTTTCTTTCAGTAGTTCTTGGTGCAGCGCCCCCACAGGCGAGCGGGGGAACAGGTTGGTTCAACAGGTTGACTCGACTGCACAGTGCAGTGTGAATGCAAACGCACCAGCTCAAATGTAACAAAAGGTCATGAATATTGGTCCCGAACTGAGTCTACCGGACTATCTGGTGTGAAAACGACCTACGTTTCTCATTGGGCCTGGGAACAACTTGGAGTCCTCCCAGAAGAGCTGGAAGATGTGACTGTAGAGAGAGATGTCTCCCTGCACAAGATGCTGGCCCTGAGACCTGACAAAGATGATGGATGGATGGATGGATGGATGGATGGATGGATGGATGGATGGATGGAAG